TGACTATGTTAAGAAACAGACCAAAATCGGCATGTCGTAAGTACGGTTCAATTTGAGCGTCGTAAGGGACATACTCATGGACACGACAACAAAATCTTTTAACATCCTATTAAAAATATGAATTACGTATAAGAAATACAAGATTTACGTATAAAAATCATAAGAATTAAGGAACAAAAAATTGTCGGTAAAAAATAGGTATTGAGGAAAATACACTTACAAAGGTTTCAATGTTGTTCGGAGTTCCTGTATGTTGATCACCCATAGTCAAGAGAGACATTTTTTCTTGATTACTCTTGTGTTTTTGTTGAGACTTCAAGAAAGAAATAGTGTATGAGTTATGATTGTGATGAAAATATAGGATGAACGTTACATGTATTTATAGGAAAATCTTGAAGAACACTTTGCATGCAAGTTATACTCATAGACGCCACACTAGATGGCACATGCTCTTCCTTAATGCCCATAGGCACCACACTAGGTGGCGCATGCTCTCTTTAATATACATAGGCGCCATTCAACATGGCTTGTTGCTTTTTGCATGCATGCAAACCTGCAGCGTGGCAGGGATCATATGGCATGCATGCAATTTTTGTTGTTCAATGACAAGCCACCGTAGGTGGCGCATGCATGCAAAAAGAGGAGGATAAGCCACCCTAGATGTAGCATGCATGAGAAAATAGGAGGATAAGCCACTGTAGGTGGCGCATGCATGCAGAATATCAGTCTATTTAATCGTCTGTGTAGGTTGCATTACTAGTATACATCCATAACTCACAAAAAACATACCTCAATAACATGGATCATTCACAAAATTATACTATTGTTGCCCATATTAATGGTGAGACGTTCAACTGCGATACCTTAGGTTTTAATTTCCGTAATACCGATTTTATCCGCTTTCAGATAAACAAGAAATGAGGTTTTGCACGCTTCAAAGATAGAGTAGAATCCAAATTACAGTGTGATCCAGTTTACCAAATTCTTTACAAGTCCCCCTTTCTATTTGACAACAACCAAGTCAAATTTTATCAACTTAAGGTACGCGATGATGATGATGTTCGAAACATGTTTCAAACTTATGAACAATCTGGGTTCGATGAGATTGAGCTGTATGTTTTATTACAACAACCAGATCAATCTCAGGTGATAGATCCTTCTCAAGACTTTGAAGAAGAGGGTTAATCTGACGAGGACAACCATCCCAAAGTCGATGTTATTGACCAAGAAGAAGAAGATGATGAGGCAATGATTGATTTTATAGTCAATGATGACGCTGCAGATCAAGAGCATGAACCTATACATGTAAGTCATGCGTACGACCCTCCATTTCACATGACGAACTTGAACTTGGGGGAAGATGAACCAGCCTCAGATATCATTCACAATCCTTATATGCAGACCGAAGGGGCCTTGAAAGTTGAAGACAAATTTTGAACAAAAGAAAAGTGTCTTAGAGTTATCAAAAAATACCACATGGAAATTTTAGCTGACTTCACTGTAGATAAAAATAATTCAGGGAGGTACGTTATTTTAGGTCATCAAAAACCAATTTTCCCTTTTCGGTTAACTGCATCTTACAGGAAGAGAAGTGATTCATGGGAAATAGGTTCTATTGGTCCACTCCACACTTGCATCACTATCGTTCTGACATAGGATCACCGGAAACTTAGTTCTCAACTAATATGTCAAGAAATCTTGCCTCTTATTAGTAAGGATCCATCACTAAAGGCGAGTACAATTATTTCTCATATCATTACGAGATTCAATTATACTCCCTCTTACAGGAAGGCATGGATCGGGAGGACTAAGGCAATTGAACATGTGTACGGTAATTGGGAGGAATTGTACAAAGAACTTCCAAGATTTTTGGTGGCACTCAAATATTATGCTCCGAGAATTGTTATAATTTTGGAGACACTTTCAACTTTTACCCCAGACAGAACTCATGTTAGTGGAAATGGAATATTTCATCGATTGTTTTGGGCGTTTAAACCATGCATCAAGGTTTTGCATTTTGCAAACCTATTATACAGATTGATGGAACTTATTTATACGAGAAGTATAAAGGAACATTACTCATGGCAGTGGCACAAGATGTGAACAGTAATGTTTTTCCGACTGCCTTCGCTCTAGTTGAAGGTGAGAAGGTGGTACATGGAATTTCTTTCTGAAGAATCTCTGATTACACGTTGCTCCTAAACCCAACCTTTGTTTGATTTTAGACAAACATCTATCGATTGTGAGTGCATACAATACCCCTGATAATGATTGGCAAGATCCCCCTTTGACACATGTCTATTGCATTAGACATATCACACAAAATTTCATGCTCCATATCAAAGACAAGAGACTTCGAAAGAAAGTTATTAATGCAAGGCATGCCTTAACAGAACCGTTATTCTGATACTATCGCGAAGAAATCCAGTGGGAAAACTCAGAAGCATTAAGGTGGATCGATAATATTCCAGTGGAGAAGTGGACTTGGGCATTTGAAAATGGTAAACGATGGGGCCACATGATAACATATCTGGTGGAATCATTAAACTCTGTATTCAGAGGCATCTGAAACCTACCAATTACTGCTTTGGTTAGAGCAACATATTTCAGGATGGGATCATTGTTTGACACAAGAAGTTCAAAATGGAGGGCAGTGTTACAATCAGGGCAGTTGTTTAGTGAATGCACGATGAAAACATTTAACGAGGAGGTTACGAAAGCAAACACCCATAGTGTCAATGTGTTTGACCGTATTAAAGGTTGGTTCAGTGTACAAGAGATAATGGATCGTAATGAGGGGAGGCCAATGGGATATTATCAGGTCGAACTAGATAGAGGTTGGTGTGATTGCGGAAAGTTTCAAGCATTTCACATGCCTTGCTCTCATGTCATAGCGGCATGTTCGCTTGGATCCAATACAACATATATACCCCGTGTACACGGTAAAGAGCATTTTAAATATGTACATCAATACCTTCTCCGTGTTGGCAAATGAGGATTACTGACCTGCTTATCAAAGGGACATTGTTTGGCACAATGAACAAATGCGACGGAAGAAAAAGGGGCGCCCGAAAAGCACTCGTATTAGAAGTGAAATGGATACGGCCAACAAAATGATAAGATTATGTAGTACATGTCGTCTTCCCGGACACAATCGAAAAAATTGTCCAAATATTGGCTCTAGCTCTGCAACCTAACTTTTTTATAGCAAATTATCTAGAGTGTTTAATTTGTTGTACGCAATATATTTCAATTTAAATTCGAGTTATCATTTCGTGTTCAATTTATCATTCGATTACAACAACTTTCACATCATGACACAAAAAATTACAACACCACATACTCAGGACAACAATACAACAACATGATAAATAGATAAAACAACTAAACAAATCATAATATCTAAGAGATAAAGACCATCAACACAATATCCTCTGGTCCAAGCATCATCATCATGACATCAACGTCACATTTCACCTTTTTCCATGATCGGCTTACTCCATTTTCGTTCCTCATTGTGACGTGCCTTTCTATTTTTCTGATTTGTTCACCTTCAGGAATGTCTCCTTCCAACCAGCGAATCAAGTGCCTCTGAAAATGCTCGAACGTCTGCATGTTCCAGAGTTTGATCTTCACCGGAGGCTTTGTGGCCGAAAAAATAAAACGCGCATCTCTTTTGATCAGTAAAAACTTTGGCAAGGGAGTTGACGATATTTTCTAAGATTTATGTAACAAATGGTGTGAAAAAATAAAGAGGATGGGTGATTGCATTTATAGAAAATGCAATAACATTGTCAAGCCAAGGAGGGTGGCGCCTCCTCTCTGGAATACATGCATGCACCACACTGCATGACTTTACAGAGGAGGACAAGCCATGCAGTGTGGCGCCTCCTCTTAAAAATGAATGCATGCGCCACACAGAGTGACTACTCCTCTGTGTGGCGAAATTTTTTTATTTAAAAAATAGTCATTTTAGTAAAAATTTTGAAAAAGTGGTTATTTGAAATTTTTTTTAAAAAAAAATGATTATTTAAAAAGAAATTCATTTATTAGACATGGGTGAGAAAAAAAAAATTAAGAGGGTTCAAAAGACAACCAGACAAATTTATTAATCATAATTTAAAAATATGAGGGGTGCAGTTGCATCCCTTGGGTCGGCCCCTGGGTGTAATGATTAACTCTATCATATAAGAATTTATATATTTTTGGAAATGTCATCTACCCTTGCTTAAACTATCTCTGCGATGACACTTTATGTTAATAATTTGTCTTTTGGTGTCTTTAGTTTAACTATTGAACTGAAATAATTAATGCAACCAGCATATTTTTTCAAATTGCACTACGTTTCTGGATTTTGCCTACTTAATTACTTCTTTCTTCTAACTAATACTCAGAAACCTACTGAAAGTACATTTGCTTTTTCTCTCTCTTTTTCAAACAGGTTCATATTCTCTCTCTCAAACAGGTCCATTTTCTCTTTCTCTATGGCTCTTGCTTCCGACTTCATCTTCTTCTTCATCCATGTGCTTCGTCTGGTTTTCATGGCAAGACAGCGACAACAAAAGCAACTGTGAGATCAAACGTGTATGAATCGATTTACATACTTTCAGAGAATATGGTGGTGGTGCTTTCACTATTTCATGAGATGTTGTCTTTTTTGCAAATTATAAGGATCAGAGATTATACAAACAATCCATATCTAATATGAAGTTTTAGCAATCTTATAACATAGTTTAGAATAGATTTTCATAGTTTTGGTCATTTGTTCCAAATTTAACATTAAACTGATGCACCTATGTGTGAAGATAATGGATTCAAGATCGATGTGTTTGAGTAACATTGACCCTGCTGCGGGTAATAAGCTTCATTTAGAAAAACTGTAATTTTTCTGAAACTTATTTATCTTCTTATTTGAATTTCAAGCTATGATTCTCTATGTAGTGCTTAACTTTGGATGAAGGGTGTCTTATCTCATTAGTGATCATGAAGTCCTGGATTTAATGCTTAGAATGTTAAACTCAAATCACTATGCCCTTAATGTTTTTTCCCAGACTGGTTTGCTAGCTACCAAAGACCAAGGTAGGCTTTATATGATTCCTAAAATCTTTAAAAAGTGAACCGGTAATATATTTTGTAAACTAAAATTTACACTGTTTCTGTAACTTAAGGATTTATTGCAGAAATTGAATCCTTAATGCATGCACTTGATGGGGAAGAGATGCAAATGGAAGAACCAACAAAGAAAAATGCAGAACTTGAAAAGGCTGTTCAACAAAAAAATCAAGAGGTTGAAAACCTTGAATCTTTGATAAGTGTCATTTTGTAGTTATTTCTATATTCAGTTTTGTGGCACTTATCGTTTGTTTTGCCTCAACTTTTGTGTATATTTGTGTCTATTGTGTAAATATGTATACTTTTGTATTATTTAATTGAGTTTGTATGTATATTGTGTACTGTTTAATAGTTTTTCATTCATTTGATAGGTATTCATGCATATTTGGAGCATTGAGTAATAAGGGACAAAGACGCGGCTTCCAAGATGCGATTTTGAGCAATTCATCAAAGAATAAGGCTAAAATCAAAGAATAGGAAATAATCAATTTCATTGATTTTTGTCATTATTATAAAGAACATTGAATAAGCTTCCCAACGCTTTGCAAATCAAAGTTACGGTTATCAAATTATGGCGAAAATAATGTTGAATTTTTCAATTTGCTGTCAGGCTCGCCCCGAGCTCGCCGGGAAAAGCAGAGGCGAGCCAAAAGCATGAAAATTCACCCAAAAGCGTGAAAAAATGTTGTTTTGACCCCGGACTCACCCCAGGCTCGTCGGTCTGGGCAGAATCTCATTATAAAGGGGCAAAAATAACATTTTTAGGTTATGGGTTGAGTATTTTTGAGTCCCAACACCATCAAATCCATTTTTTGATTGAGAGAATCTAGAAAACAAAATTGGAGTTTGCATTTGGATGATCCGGAGTCAGATTTCTCATTAATCGGAGCTGACAACCCGTGAGATGTTTGGTTTTTCTTCTCTTTCTCTGTATTTATCTTTTGTTGGATTTTGTTTATACTCTTACTTTGAGCATATGTATATTTGTTGATTATGGTGTTGTATAAAGCTTACTTTATAAATTAATCATGATATCTTCCTTGATCTTTTTGCATTTATGTTTGGGTTTGAGTTGCTATAGATATATACCTCACAAATTTTGATTAGGGATGGATATTTATTAGTTTCTAGATTCTAGAGATAGATTTAGAGTTAATATTCACTTTGAATGCTAAAGCTTAATGCCTCCGTGTTGTTGTAGCGCGCAAGACATTGTCGATAGAATAATACGGTTGGTTTCGCGACTTGGCGTTAGACATAACCTTCGTTGTGGGTATATCTCCTAGTGTCCGTGATGAATTTGACGAGTATAGTAGGTTGAGTTCAACTGATCAATATGTTTAAGTTTGTGACGAGTAGAGTAAATTCATGGCAGATAGATTTCTCCTTTTCATTGAATGTATTTATTTTCTTGTCAATAGTTTTTATCCTTTCCTTACAAACCATTTAAAACCAAGTTCTTTCTCTCGCACTGATTTCTGTGGATACGATAAAAACTGAAATACTTCGAATCTTTTGTTTACCGTTTTATTGCGTTAACAATATTCTCATGGTAAAGTTATGAAAAAGCTTTCTGTAACTGTAAGCAAGTTTGATGAACTTCACAACCTATCTGAAAATCTCCTTCAATCCCAATTGCAAGAAAAAGATTTCGAAATTTATTTCTTATGACAAGAGGTTACTCAATGCACTAATGATGATCTCCGTGAATCACAACTGAACAACCAGAGAAGTCTGGATGAGATCGTTGAGTTATTTATGTGGGTTGAATGATATATCTTATGATGTGAAGAGTGATGCTCAGGTTCACGAGTATAAAATAAATACTTCAGAAGAAGTTGATGTCATTAACATCAGAGTTAAATATATATATATATATATATATATATATATATATATATATATATATATATATATATATATATATATATATATATATATATATATATATATATATATATATATATATATATATATATATATATATATATATATCTTTATTATTTACTAAATAAATATTACATATATGGAAATAATAATAATTAATATTTATGAAAAATGTATATTTTAGATAAAATATCTTAAGAAGATAAAACAAAATAAAAATGAAAATAAAATGGTGTTTACATTATTTTTCCCTATTTATTCTAAATAATATATTACATGCTTATTTGTATACAATAATCAAATAAATACCTAAAAAATATAAAAATTGTGCAAAAAATATTTTTTATGTTTTTAATATGATAAGAAAAAATAAATGAGTCAAAATGAAAAAAGAAAAATCAAAAAATCATAAAAACAAACAAAATGGGCTTGTGGGGTATGAAAGTGGAAATAGGGTGTGAAAAGAAAAGACAACACAGGCCCAACCCATGTGGCTTCTTCTTCAACCTTCAGACAAAAAATGTTCCAAAACGCGCGCGCCTGTACTCAAGTTCAAACGTCCTGATTCTTTGAGCTTTTGCACAAACTTTCAACACAAAAAATGTTAAGCATTGAATCACGATTCCAAATATATAAAGAACACCTCCTAACTCTCAGAAATGAGAGAGAATTTTGACATTCCCAAATCCTGACCTAAGTTTTCTGCCATTTTCAAACCTTAAATTCTCATAGCTCAGGCAAAATAAATGAAAAGTAAAAGCATGTACAAGTTCAGGGGCATGAGTAGAACATTTCTTATTCACAAACCTAGAGTTAATGATGCCTATACTAAGAGTTAGAAGTTCACTAAAATACCTGTTCAGTTGAAGTTCTATCTGGCAATGGGGAAGCTTTCAGTGCAAGGTGATGGTTGGTATAGCTTCCTTGAGGTGTGGTAATGATGTTCCAATGTTTACTTTGCCTTGAGACACCTTGAATCGAGCTGTGGAACTTCAACTGCAAAATGAGAAAGTGAAAATGGTGGAACTTGTTAGAGGAATTACAGGTCGTGTTTCTGGTCTTGGTTAGCTTGCATTGATGCTAGGGAATGTGTTTGATAAGCTTTGGTCAAGAAATCATGCAAGGAATGAGAGATGGTGTTCAATCTGCAAGCCTTGCCCTGTTTCTGCAGTTTGGGAGTGATTATGGCAATGGAGAGGTATTGGAGGTCTTAGGGTCGTGTGCTAGCTCAGTTGGGATGTCTTGAATGTGTTTCAAAAAGTTTGCTTAAGGGTTTGCAAGCTGATATCAAAGGTCTGTTGAACAATGCAATGTTTCTTAGCACTTAAGCAAAAAAGGTCAAGTTGGTGTTTAGGCAGCTAGAGGCCCCCATAACATGCTGCATAACTCAGTCTTGATCAGTGTGATTAATCCCTAAACTTGTTCCAAAGAGATCTTAACTGTACTTCTTGGATTTTCAATTGGACATAAAGCTTGCTTTTTCAAAAATGGATAAAGTGCTTTATCTATTTTGGGATTAATCTACTATGCAATGCTTGAATCCATGGAACATGGTCTTGACACAAAGAGTTTGCATTAAATTTATGAGTGTTGGATGGTTTAAGGACCTGTAATCAAGATATGCAAGCTGAGATTGAAAATGCCTAGTGTTATGGACATGTAAATTGACCAATTCAAAAGTGAGTTTTTGCCAAATTGTGAAATTCGAATCTCTCAAGTTATGAGGTTGTTTGATGAGTTCTTGGATATTTTGGAAAGCTTGGAATGTGCACTATAATCCATCTTTGAAATGCAAATTTAAATTCCAAGTGGAAGTGTAGGGAAAATGGCCTTGAAGTTGGGTAGAAAACCTTGCCAAAATAGGTTAAAATTTCACTAAGTTAAGAATGGTTTAGTGCCCTTATTCAAAAAATTGTAACTTGAGATACAAGCCTCATTTGGGAAAACTTAATCAAAGTTGTAGATTATGCAACAAGCTACAACTTTCATGTTTTGACTTTTGTTTGAATCCAAATGAATCTTGGTGAGAAAGTAGGGCAAAGTTGGGAAAAAATTAGGGTTTTTCATAACTTAGAAAAATTCTAAGTTATGAAAAATTCTCATTTCTAACCCTAATTTGCATTTTTTGATTTCTTGGTGAACAAGTTTCATGATTTGGCATGTTTTGATGAAAAATGAATCTTGACTCTTGATTTTGACCAAAAAGTCAAAGTTTGACTTTTCAGTATACAGTCAAAATTGATCAATTGACTGGGAAATTCAACTGTCAATCTTGTGTACTTGAGATCTTTTGAACTTGTTGAGCATTTCAAGATAATTCCATGGGGTCCTTGAGTCCATATGTGAGCTTGGTTTGCCATTGGTTGGGTCAAACAGTCAAAAATTGCCTTTGTGCAGTCAAAACCCTAAAAATGACCATTTTGCCCTTTTGGTGATCTGATCAAATTTCTTGTGGAATTGTGATCCAAACTTGATCAAATGGTCTATATGAGTTCATAATGTTGATGTGGGTCAATTTTCATGAGGTTTGACTGTCAATTGGCTACAGTTGACTTTTTCCCCAATACAGCTGATTTCTAGGTCAACTGTCTAATTGACTGGGCAAAATTTGGAATCAAGACTTGAAACTTGATGTGGATAATCTTGAGAGTCCAATATGAAGCAAGGAAGTCATCTTAGGCATTTTAGGTCAAAACATCTTTGTACAAACATAAACCCTAATTTGGGTCAATAGTGCAAGGAGAAGTCTTGAGCAGATGAAACTCTAATTGGATCTTGATCTTCAAGGGCTTTGTGGTGAGAAATCAATGAGAAATGGGAGGGAAAATTTTGGGGTACAACAGTTGCCCCTGTTCAATCTTCTTGAATCCGAAGAGTTAGATTGGCAAGCTTGCCTTTCGTGACTCGAGGGTAAAAGGAGATTGGACACTAGAGTGCCCTTAAATTTGCACTTGTCAAAGCAATGGATGCGGGATTGGGCTTAGAGATGCCATCTGGAGATGAGCTTAGAGATGCCAACTGGAGGGGCGACAGAATCTTGTCGGGGATGGGCTTAAAGATGCCATCTGGAATGAGTATCAGGAAGGTGACAAGGCTTTGGACCATCTCTGAACTGGGGGTCTGAACAAGCAATAGATTGACATCCGTTGTTGGGAGGAATCCGTAAGCTGTTTTCAGAAGTCTTGAGAAGAATCTGAACAAGCGATAGGTTAACATCCGTTACTGGAGAACCCGTGAACCGTTTTCAGAAGTCTTGAAGTTGAATAAGCAATAGAGCAGCATCCGTTGTTGGGAAGCGTCCGTAAACTGATTTCAAAAGTTGCATCTGAACAAGTGATAGATTAACATCCGTTGTTGGGAAGAATCCATAAACTGTTTTCAGAAGTCTTGAGAAGAATCTGAACAAGCGATAGGTTAACATCCGTTACTGGAGAACCCGTGAACTGTTTTCAGAAGTCTTGAAGTTGAATAAGCAATAGAGCAGCATCCGTTGTTGGGAAGCGTCCGTAAACTA